TCATCTGTACTATAAGTCACGTTTTTAATCATGCATTATGAACCTGTCCATCTGCTGTTGTCAAAAAATAAAGATTTTTCCTGGCTTTGGCAAACATTACTCACCGAGGATCAAATCGCAGCAGGGCCTTTGATGAAGGCTTCACTTTCCTGCCTGCGTTAAAACTGGAGCATCAGATTACAGCCGCACTCTCACAGGTTTTGTGCTTCAGCCCAGATTGTGTGATTTAGATGTCTGTTTGTTGAGTCTGGGTGTTTCAGGCTGATCAGATAGACGCGGCTCTATCAGGCAGATCTAAGTTTGGCAGGTGGTCCCGAGCCATTAAAAGTTTCTGGACATGGTGACCTGAAGAAATCATTCGCAAAGCTCATGAGGGCTGCACAGAAAATCGCGGTTTTATGGCAAGGATCAGAAAGTTCATTGATGTTTAACAAAGAATGATTTTGATGCCAGATTTGAAGAAAACCAGCAACCATGTATTTCCACACACTGGTGAGAGATATTTCGTTTAATCTTGCATCTTTAAGAAAGAATTGTACTGAACGCACAGTGTACTGGCTAAATAGGTCATCTGCTGGGTGGGATTTGTAACAAAACACAAAAAAAAGCAGGATACGTGGGCATCTGATCTTGTTTTGCTCAGAATTCATATTGTATTTCAGCACTACCTTATCAGAAAGGCAGGGGGGGGATAGCAAACATGTGCAGCAAGCTGTGTAGGGCTGTGAGTCTGGATCTGACACATAAAACCACAGAGCAGGATGTGCCTGAACCAGGTGACATACATTACATGTCTTAGACGACAGTAACAATATTAGGGGCAGGAAGGGAATAACAATCAAAGCATATAATGTTTCAATGAGCTCATGCAAAAAAAGATTGAATGAATAAATCTAATGCTTTGATATACAGTCAGTAAAAAAAATAAGTATACTCTTTATTTGTGTCAGGACAGTACAGCAAATCACTCTGGTCCTAAGCAGGTGTAAAAATAGGTAACTACAACACCCGATGAACTACAAAATATGACATATTACAACGTGTCATCATTTGTTTAATAAAAACTGAAACAAAATGCCAAAGCAGGGGATAAAAAGCTGAGGACACGCTTACTGTTTCCATATGAATTAAAAGGGTGCCAGGTGCTGGTAATTAAATGCAACTGATTAATTGCTCAACAGTGAATCTGAGCACCTCTATAAAAGCAGAAGTTTTGGTTTGTTGGTCTGGAGCATTCAGGTGTGGGCTAGCAAAATGCCAAGGAGGAAAGATATCAGCAGTGATCTTACAGCAGCGATCAATCAGGGAGTGGTTATAAGGTCATTACCAAACTATTTAAAGTCCATCATTCTACAAGTGAGAAAGATTATTCACAATCGGAAAACACTGAAGACTGTTGCCAATCTTGACAGCAGTGAACATCTCAGCAAACTGACCCCAAGGTCAGACCGTACAATGCTCAAAGAAAGTTCATGACAGTGCAATTCAAAAAAGACTGAACAAGTGTGGTTCGTTTGGAAGGGTTTCTAAAATAAAAAGCATGGCAGTAGAGCTTGGATTTGCAAAGCTATAGCTGAAGAAACCACAAGACTTCTGGAACAATGGACAGACAAGAAACACAAGTGGAGATGTTTGGATATAGTGTATCGAACCACGTTTAGTGAGAGCCAAACAGAAGATCGGGCACGATGGTGTAGGGGTGATTTAGGCGTGTTTTGAAGCTACAGAACCTGGGAATCGTGCAGCGATTGAGTCGACAATGAACACCTCTGTGTACCAAAGTATTCTAGTGTCAAATGTGAGGCCATCTGTGTGACAGCTAAACCTTGGCTGAAAATGGGTCATGCAAAAGGCCAATGATCCCAAGCACAGCAGCAAATCTACACAAAGAATTGCTGAAAAAGAAAAGAATCGAGGTTTTGCAAACCTCGGTGAACTGAAGTCATGTTGTATAGAAGAGTGGGCCAAAATTCCTCTACATCGATGTGAGAGACTGATAAAGTCAAACAGAAGCAAAAAAATATCATTGAAAGTTATTGCTGCTTCTACAAGCTATTGGATCATAGGGATGTATTTAGTTATTCACACAATGCATCTTAATTTTGTTTTTGTTTTTATTATGAGATATGAAACATATGAATTTCCCTCTGGGATCAATAAAGTTATTCTCATTCTTATTGTTATTAAAGAACTAGTTGCACAGTGTAATATGTCATGTTGCTCTCAGTTTGTATTTACTTTGATGATTTACTTTACCATGACTGTGTATGCATATTTCTTATTAAATGTAGTCTATTATAATTTTACCCAGACCATTAGATTGATACAAATCAAAAATAATACTTAGTTTGTAGTAGTCAAGGATTTATTTAAAGGCTCTTAAAATTAAAAATGTAAAAACTACAATTAAAAATACTGCCAGAGCCAGAGAACAGTCAGAGAGTTTCAGAGTTGTGGACAGTGGGCAGAGAGGGGAGATCCGAGAAGCGAGAGCGGGGCTGACGTGCAGTGATTGCATGCATTGGTTTGCTTGGCCGGGAATTGAACACTTGATGCTCACGGCATTTGGGCTCAGGTGATATGACCACAGGTCAATCACACAGCTCTCTTTATTTAAACAAAACAATAAAATCATCCCTGGAGTAACATTGAAATGATCTATGTTACCACATGGTATGCCATCAACACAACTTCCCTTTCCACTTGTGATGCCAGGACATCCCAGATATCCCCACTCAGGACTCAGGCCACTAATGGTAAATAATTTCAAATTTCTATAGCATTTTTCTACTCAGAGCACTCAAAGTACTTTTTTTCTTTTTTTACCACAGGCCACATTCATGCTGCACTTTATCCTATGCCTTCAAGCACTTTCCAACTATCATGCACACTCTGTGGGCAACTTGGAGGCTAGAACACTTCGACATGCAGACCGGGTAGACTGGTGGATGTTGTTAGCATGAAAAGAGGGTATTGAAATGATTGATTTACCCATCGAAAAGCTTGTGACTAATATGCTTCCAAGAATTTGTATCCAAAATAATTTTTCAAAGTGTTTCTGAGACTCCAGGACAAGTAATGTCCTGTTTAGAAGATTTCTGTTTCAGGGAACTGCACGAGCATGAATTTTATAAGCAACTTTCAGCAATCTTAAGCATGTGACTGTTTCAAGGCCCTTCAGACACCACTGAAGGTGCTTTAATTCCACATCTGTTTGTTTGTCATTACTCAGAGAAAGGAATGAGGACAGCAGGGTACAGAAAAGTTTATTTCTGCTCATCTAAAAAGCAATGAAACTATTTGCTTTGAGATATTTGGCCCTTTTTTTCCTCTACAGGAAAGACACAGATGGAAAAGAAATAATAAGAATGAAAAATAGAAAATTGTTGTCACTTTGTTCATAAACTACAGCAAACCAGACTTACATTGATTGTCTGACAAATGAGTCACAAATTGGATTAATTTTTAAGCAATTTCTTAAGCAATGTGCTTTGTTCACAGGTATTTTACAGTCTGCCAATAATCCAATATACCAACTTTCCTATTAACCAATTCCATGAATGCATCAAAACCGAGCATTCTGAAAAATAAAACATATTGTAAAGCTTATTGAGTTCCTTTATTTATATCCACATAAACATTAGGACAAAGTGAGCTGCATATTTGCACAGAGTGAAATGTTCCTCGATCACGGTGAAAATGGGCAGATCTGCTGCCAATATCCACTAAACAATAATCAAAATATTTCCCAAAAAAATGCTGTAGTTACAGCTGTCATGAAAAATTATACATATTTTAAGTTGTTTTTCCATATTTGTGACCCATTTGTATAAATTCATGCTTTCCACAGGCTTGGACTGAGCTCAGCAGCATCACAGAAGACTCAAGCAACACTCTCTTACACCTCTTTAAATTTGAGTAGATCATTTTAAAAGGTCAAGGAACTTCAGAAGAAGTTTTTTTTGTGTTATGCTACAAGTGCGACATAATAATGTTTTGTTAGATGGACTGCAGTAAAATCCAAGGTGAGCGGGTTATCTCGAGGCAGAGAAACACGGCATAAAAGCACATGGTAGAGTCCACTTTTTCCTTCTGCAATGCTGAAAGCACTGTGCCGTAGCTGTACCACTGAATGCCTTTACTCTAAGTGATGTCTTGTGCATCACAATTACCCACACACAGCCCTGCATCAGACCGTGAGTTGACTTTTATGTTGATGTGAATGTGGGCCGCAGCAGGAGCCGATGACAGCTTAATTCCTGAGCTGGGCCCCCCCTGCTGAGGCTCGCCGTTTGTGTGATCTGACAGACAGAGATCAGACTGTGGAGAGATGAGTGGAAACCCTCTGAGTACGCTCAGGTTTCTTGGCATGGTGAAAAGATTTGTCCAGTCCATTCAGATCTGATGGAGTTTCCCATATTCTGCACCGCAGCTGGTTTTTGTCGAGGTATCTTTGTCATCTGTGCACACACAAGAGATACATGTGAGGCTGACGCTGTGTTTAGTTTAGGTACTCTGTGCCACTAGAGCTGCATGCCACAGAGTTGAACTTTTCTCTCATCGCTAACCAGGTGAAGAGGGGTTCCAGCCAATTACTTTGGAAAAGGCAGGAGACAGGTAAACAGGTGTGGAAAAATAATAGATGTGGGGGTGGACGGAGGGGGGGTTGTGGGGTTGGGGGGGTGGGATGAAATGAGCCGCAAAGAGGGGTGACCTCAGTTTAAAAGGGGTTGGGTAATGGAGGCATTAGGCCAACATGAGCAACTGAGGTAAAAGGGTGCAGGGGGAGCAGAACAAGAAGGATTAGGGGACGTGGGGAAAGAAGGCTGAACTACTTTGATAGAGGTCAAACCGTGGAGCAGTCAGGAAACAACAGGCATTGTTTTTGAACATCTAATTTTGAGATAAGTGCTGTTTCTTAACACGTACCTGAGGAATGTGGCTAATGCAGTGGTGACCTTCTGAAGATGACAGCGGACAAACCTCTCTTAGGCGCGGAAATGACACGAATGGGTTTTATCTTCCTGCTCCTGAGTAACGCCGCGTCAGTCTCCACACAGTTTAATGGATACAACTGCGATGCCAACTACCACAGCAGGTTTCCAGGTGAGAATCCTCCCCAGCAGGTTCTCTCTTTGCCGTCCACACACGTCTGCCAACAGGTGTGGAACACGATAGATCTATGAGCAGCAAAAGTAGCAGCCACATTAAAATGAGCACAAATAGTTCTGGTAGGGTGAAGCTTTTTTTACTGATGGCGTTTCTAATAACGTTTATTTCCTTATTGAGAGTTAATATTGAGGACGATAAAGTTATATCTTTATACTTAGATAGATCATCAAAATACCTTTCTGCCTATCTAAGCTGGAAGCTTCATTTATAGTTTAAAAAAAACATGTGAACCACATAAATAATTGAATGCACCGAATATTTTAATTACAATGTTTATGGCCCTATTATGACAAACATTTCCTGGATACAGACATTTTGAGGCAATCTCCTGCTATGATCTACAAAATTACACTAGATTGATTTACCTGACTGATTTTGCCTCCACAGAGCTCGGTTAGTAATTTCATACTTTAAAATTCCTGTACAAAAGTGAATAAAAGTCTTAATTAGAAAAATGTGTAACTTCTGCCTTGCATGAACCGGCATGTCTTGATTTTTATCTTGATTTCAAATATTACATTGCCAACTTTTCTCTCTGAACCTTCGTCTCCCGCCTTCCTCCAGGTGAAAGGGACATCAGCGTGTACTGCGGGGTTCAGACCATCACTTTGAAGATCAACTTCTGTCCTGTTCTCTTCTCCGGCTACACCGACGCAGATTTGGCCCTCAACGGCCATCACAGCGAAGCCCAGTGTCGCGGCTTCATCAACAACAACACTTTCCCCACAGCACTTCTGTTCAGCATCAGCCTCAGCACTTTGGAGGCCTGCGGCAACAGTCTGGTGGTAAAGAATACTCGAGCACTGCGCATGGCTTTATTCTAATCAATAATCAGCTTCATCATGTTGTGTATTGACGTTGGAGCAAAGTGACTGGCTGATGTTTCTCTCTGCAGGTCAGCACAGCCTACGGGCCCACTGCCTATGGGAACATGTCTCTTGTACAAATTGGGAATATATCAGGCTACATCGACACCCCTGACCCACCAACTATAATCAGCTATCTGCCTGGTTTGTTGTATAAATTCAGTTGCAGCTACCCGCTGGAGTACCTGGTCAATAACTCACAGCTGGCATCGTGAGTTTCTGCCAAAGCATCCATCAGTGTCCAAAAGAGAGCTGCACCTTGCAGGAGTTGCTTTGCAAAGTTAATCCTGAAAGGCTGGCTTTAAGATATATTCATTTAATTAGATTCACTTATAGCTTTCAAAAACGGTGCTAACAATTAAATTCCCAGTTTAAAAGCTTCAGTGACTTTGTGCCTCACAGTATTTTTTCAAACCATTAATTTTATTATTCACATCTATTATTCACATATATTATTCTCTGAACTTCGTAAATCAGACAAGTATATAAATAAAAGCGCAGCTGATTTATAACTGTACTAAATCGAAACCTCTGCTCCCGAAATGTTATTTATTAAGCCAAGGCTCACAAAGGCTCCGTCTCTCCACAGATCCTCTGCAGCTGTGTCTGTCAAAGACAGCAACGGTACTTTTGTGAGCACGCTCAGTATGATCCTGTACAACGTGAGTACAAAGCAGCGCTGGAATAAAAATATATTTCCATTTCTAGCTTAAGAGGTGCAGAGGAATTCATATGAAACAAAATAGACATTAGAACTGGCACATGACTGGATGAGCATGTTTGGTTTGTTTTTAGAGCCTCAGTTCGATGTTCATATAACATCTTTTAATGTCTTTTAATTATCAGTGCTGAGTATTTTCACTGTTTCCAACTAACTCCATGAAAACAACAAAAGTTGGTTTTCTGTAATAGCCCATGTATTTTTCCACCAACAACAATATTCCACAAAAGGTTTGCGATGTAATCCTGTTTAAAATCACACTGCTTAGAATACTCTGTACTTACTTTAAACAACATAATCACCGTGTTGCATATAATTGTGCTCCTTCTTTAACAATTAATGTCACATATGCTTGTTTGGCTACAGACCTGTGCAAAAATTGCTCTGGACAGCAGAAAAATAGCAAAACTATAGAATAACACCAGCTATGTAAAGACTGATTCAGTGTCTTCATTTGCTTTATGCCACGTTTTGAGTGAATAATCAACTTTTCTTTTTCTTTTTCTTTTTTCTCCAGGATTCAGCATACAATCAGCCTCTCTCTATCCCCATGGCTGGACTGGCTCTGAAAACCAGAGTATTTGCTGCTGTGAAAGCCACAAACTTAGACAAACGGTACCGCACAAAACCCAGCTATTCACTATTGAATTTCCATAATTTTCACGTCATAGATGTGCAAGACTCTTTACCATAACAAACCTATTACTGCAGCAGAAAGGATATTTTAAATATAGTTCTCCACAGCATCTTTCCCACTATCATTTTTACAGATTTACTCCTCTTTTCTTTGCTTTGCCTACATTCATTATGCTATTATGTTATTATTCTTCATGAAGGCGCCAGGCTGCAGTTTTCTCATGTGCAGTTGGATCTCTATCCTCCATCCCATCTCACAGTTTTGTCTCTTTGCAGGTGGAACATTTTGATGGACTACTGTTACACAACCCCCTCAGGGAATCCTAATGATGAACTCCGCTATGACCTTTTCTTTGGGTAAATCTCGCGTTTTTTTTCTGCTTCAAGATAATGACTCGATACCACAAAAGGGAGTCATTACCTATTCAGGTTCTCCACATGGCTTATCCTCATTGAATGCCACGTTTTCTCTTCCTAAAGAGTTCTTAAGGGTACTCATAGACATTAAATCTAGCATTTCTGCTGGGTCTGCTTCCATACAGTTGCTATAAAGATCCCCAGACGACAGTCTTGGAGAACGGGAAGAGCCAGATGGGCCGTTTTTCCTTTGAGGTTTTCCGTTTTGTTAAACACAGGCACCAGAAGATGTCGACTGTGTTTTTGCACTGCGTCACCAAGCTTTGCCGGGCCGATGACTGCATCATGTTAATGCCTGTAAGAGTGAAAATCTCCGTTTGTGACTCACCACCTGTTTCCTCACCTCACTGAGGACTGAAATCTGACGATGTGATTGGCAGATCTGTGGGCGGCGGCGCAAAAGGGAAGAGGAGACCCCTGATTCCATGGCAGCAGCATCAGGGAACGCCATCCTCTCTGCCGGTCCAATCATCACCAGGAGTGGTATGAACTATAAACCCACTTTTACTGGAATAGTTTTGAGAGACATGCTGCTTTGCTTTCATGCTGAGAGTGCAGCAATCCAGTCAAAATAAGAAGCAACAGCCTGAAATGTCAAACTGCTAATTTAAAGCTGATTTCAATTAGGACTGCTGAAGTAAAAATGAATCCAATAAGCGCTTTAAAAATTGCTTTACAGATGAAACTCCCGTCAACAACTCCCAGCTCGGTAAGTGCCATTACGCAATGTTGTGAAACATAAAAGTGTTGTAAACTATCATGACAGCAGATTCCCTTTGAAATGACTGTTTACATCAAACCCTCTTCTGTTCCTGCAAGGGAAAGACTCGGGCTCAGCTCGTGGTAAAAACCTCATCCGAGAGCTTGTTTTCAGTTTCTTTCCCTTTCCATCTTCCAGCCTCTGGAGATCTCTCCCATTCAATGAACCCAGTGACCAGTGCTCTGATCTCAGGTGTGGTCATCCTGAGTGTAGTCAGTGTGTGCTTCTTCCTGCTGTTGCTCCGCTTCCTGCTGAAGCCTCGCCCCCCCGCGACAACAGCAGCCTCAGGTGTTTGGAATCCAAGCTTTAAATAAACATCTGCATGTTGTGCAACATGTGTATCATTTAAGGTGTTGTATATTTATTGCGTTCAATACCTCAGAATGTTTCATCTTTTGTGGGTTTGCATAATAATCGTGTTTAGAAAATGTTGCATTTAATGACTCCATATTTTTTCTCTTTCTTTCCATTTTTGTAACCAGTATATGTATCAAATCACAGATTAGAGACGCCATTGTTTTTTTGGTCTTTGTTTTCCTGTGAAATGTTATAGTATTCAAACCCTGTACAATATCAAAAGGAAATAGTGAGTGAATTCAAGCAGGTGGATTTCTTGATCTGTTTTTGAATTCAGCTTCCAGTTTCTGTTTGCATTCAAGTTTTAAATATACGTTTGTGGTGGATATAAATTCTGATTTTAAAATAAAAACAGTAAAACTAAAAAAAAAAAAGACAAGTAAAATAATCATTTTAAGATAAAAAAAAAAGTGTCTACTTTATTTGGTGTTTGAGGTTTCGGTGCGCTCTAACCTGTTCCTAGGATTATGCTCTTCTGGACAGAGACCGATGATGTTGCCCCTAGGATCTGCTGGAGACACTGTTCAAGTTTCTGGGTTACAGCTCCTAATGCTCCTACTGGGACCACTCAGTCCCTGACACTTCTTTATTTTCTCATGCTCCCTCTAACTGCTGTTGCTATCTGCTGGAAATTCCACATGTATCAAAACTGTGGTTTATATATGTGTATGCATGTGTGTGTGTTCTGTGTGCATTTGTGTCTGTGTTATGCATCTCCAATGATTAGCTGTTGATGTCTGATGTTGCCTGAAACTGAATATATGTAGCTTTGCTTTGTTTGAAAGTAAATAGATCACTTAAAGAGCACTTCTGAAGCTAAGAATTCACTCTGAAGTTTAAGAGACTTGTTTTTTCAAACGCACACTAACAGAAATTTTAAACCACAACCAGATAGATACAGATTACCTTTCGACAGGCTAGCTGCAGTCTTTTTTCAGTCTTAGCTCTTCTTGACTGTCATGTCACAAAATTGTCACCAAAGATATACAAAAGTGGTATTTACCTCCTCATCTCTCTACTTCTGTTGAACTACTTCTGTGATAAGCAACTATGATCTATGATCAGCTGATAATAATGCAGGTTCACTCACTCACCTCTCTCAAAGCTCTGAGGATTTAAATTTATTTTAGTTTAAAACATTTCCTAAAACATTGATGAAGTCCGTGAAAATGAAACAACCTATTACATCTGAGGGATTAAGCATGTACGTCTGTGTATATGGACATTCTGACACTTTTCATGAGCAGTAAATTTATTACTAATTAGATAACTAGTTGACTATAGCCAATGCTGACCTTGGTCTGAACATCTGTGTATCCATGGGTTTGAACAATACAAACATAGAAAAAAAAAGTATAAAAAATGTGTGTGTGTGTGGCAAAAAATGTGGCCTTGGATACAGTCAGAACAGCCACAAATGTGGTAATGAGTATTCACCTGTGTTTATAATAGAATTCAGTGGACATACTGATGGGCTTATTATGGTCTATCACTGATTTATCAGCACCAGTGTGCAGACATTGTATTATTTTTAAATAACGCAGGAAAATGCACTATGGGTATTTCAGAGAAAGTAAAATGATATGAATTTAAGACAGAATATAGCTGATCTATTTATATTAGATTTCTTTGAATTGGCCCCCCCAAAAAACAGAATAATCAGGGTCTACCTTATTTGTCCATCACAAACGTGTCAGATACAGCGATCAAGGTCAAGCTCATAAATGGGTGTGGTCCTACCCTTGAGTACTTCCCAATAAATGAGCTAAAACTGGTGTAATCCAATCACACAATGATCTCTAGTTCACTGTTTCCTCCTTAATATCTTATGTTTTTATAAATGTTGCTTATATGTGTGAAGTAAAGATAATGTTTTTGATATACTGCAGGTCTCAACAGAATCTTTTCTACTATCACTTTTACATATTTACTTCTTTTTTCTTTGTTTTGCCTACATTCATTATGCCATTATGTTATTATTCTACATGAAGGCGCCAGTCTGCAGCGTTCTCATGTGCAGTTGGATCTCTATCCTTCATCCCATCTCACAGTTTTGTCTCTTTGCAGGTGCAGCATCTTGATGGATTACTGTTACACAGACCCCTCAGGGAATCCTAATGATGAACTCCGTTATGACCTTTTCTTTGGATAAATCCTGCCTTTTTCCCCCCTTCAAGATAATGACTCGATAAACCACAAAAGGGAGTCATTATCTATTCAACTTCTCCACATGGCTTACCCTCATGAATGCTTCTTCTTTCTTCTTCATAAGGCATAAACCCATCAGCTTCTTTGCGACCACCTGCCTAATATTGTGTGGGTCCACCTCGCGCCTCCAGAACAGCTGTGATCCATCAGGGTATGGACACAGGACTGTTGGGGGTGTCCTGTGGTCATGGAACTTGGGTCCTCCGGGATACAAGTCTCTATGGATTAGGTCTGGGGAGTTTGAAGACTAGGCTGGTGCTCTGAGTTCCTGTTTTTATGGTATAGCATCCTGATAAGGTAGGCTGCTGCTCTGGAGTGGTATCATTGCCTCACTCATAAGTGAGTGTTTTGGTGGGTAGTACATGGCAAAGTAATATTAATGTTTCAGAGCATAGTGTTGTAATGAGAGGGTCAGATTTGTGTGTTGTAGTAGTAGTAATCATCACTGTGGACACAAGTGCTTGTCCAATAGAAATATAAAGCTACAGTCAGTAGCCATTTAACTGAAGCTACAGAATGTGCTTTCGTTCAGCTGTTCATCCACCAGCACTTCCAGTTCTCTGATAGATCTAAACTTGTGTAAAAACTAAAACCAGGGGTTGACATATTTTAATTACCTGAAGTACATTTTAAAAACTTTTAAAAAACAGATAATCTCAGTTCTCCAGGCTTCTCTAAGGACATCCTGAGGTCTTCTTTGAACTCACTGTTGATCCTCTCTCCTGAGCTCGTCTGTACATATTGATGATGATTTGAACTAAAATTTTCTAAATTGCACTCATCACTCCATAAGACCTGCTGTCACTGATTTTCAGTCCAGTTCTTCTGTAATTTTCTGTACTTTTCTCCCTTCTTGCCAGCCACTCTTCACACTGAGACCATTTCTTCAACAAACAGTAGATGGATCAATTTAGAAGCCAGATGCATCTTTCAGGTCCTGTGTCAGGTATTTGCTGGATTTTTTCCTATTTTTTAAGAACATGACTGTCAGATGTTGCTCATCTGCTGTAGTTAGTTTGTCAGGCCTGCCACTTCTTATTTTGTCCTCCAGTTTTCTCAGTTTTTTAAAGATACACTGCACACCATGCAGAGATGTGCCAACGGGTTTTTGGGAATCAAGTTGTTAGAGCAAAAACACTATTTTATGTCTGTCAAACTGTGTTATCTTTGGTATTTTTTGGAGTTTCGGCTAAAGGAATGGGAACAAATGATGTGTTTTTGTAACCACCTGCTAGTAACAAAGTGCCTTAAGACACAGTTTAAAATGAGTTGTTTACTAAGTTGTCTGTTATGTGTAGACACAACAGGTTCATCCCTTAGTTTGGTGCCTTTTTTATACTTGAATTAATAATAGGTTCGTGAGGATATTCCATAATACTGGATGAAGAGAACAACAATTATTAAAATTCGCTAATCTAGTGAATTTTGACGTTTATTGATTTATACATAATTAGTTCAACCTACTTCCTGAAAATATTGTTTTTTTTTCCTTCACATTTTTGCTCAAAGTTACATCTAAAACATCCCTGTATCTGTGCAAAACTCAAAAGATGTTGCATGTGTGTATGTGGAGTGAAGTAGTGGAACAGAATGAGCACAGAACATGTCCCAGCATGACTCCGTTTAAAATGCAGTGCAAAGTTTTTGCAGGAGGAAGCAGGGCTTTCAGTGTATGTGTGTGTATATCTGTAAATATGTGCATCTCTTGATGTGTACTGAGGGTATAAAACCAAATACATGTAACAAATTTTAAGGTATGATTTAATAAAGCATACAGCACAAACAGGAAGAACAGGATTATATATTAATAGTGGGTTTAACCAATCATCCACTTTCTCTCCTTTTTGCACAGGTTGTTTATTAAGATTATTATGATAACATTTTTTGTATCTTTTGTTTAATTTTTTCTTGTTCTTGTATTATTTTAACATGTAGTTAAAATAATTCCACAGCAATTAATACTCAGCAGGTTAGTTTTAAATGGCTTAACAACCACATGAAAATAATCAGGTACAGGGACTGAATTTAAAATGAGTGAAAAAGAAGCAAAGATCCAGAGAAAAACCTTGAAGGACCTTCAGAAAGCCTGGAAAACTATTGTTCAAGAACACTTTAAAAAACTAGTCTGGCTCCTTCGAACAAAATACTAAGAAATGAGGGGCGGCTCAGTATCTTTGCACAGTATACGTGGTGCCATGTTCCTATGAAACTAGCAAAATAAAATAAATCTGTGGGGAATTTAAACAAGCGTGTGAAGTTACTGGCAATGTTCCCTCTAATTTTTCATGTGTCTGAGTGAACACACAAACTCCCTGAGCGATCCCTTGGACCACGTGAGCACTGTGGTCACGCCAGCATCGAATCCATCCAAGTTACATGGTTTATTAAAATAATCAAATTACAGCATTTATGTTAGACTACTTTTAATTAACTGCTTTATCCCACTTATAATGAAATTTAAAAAAATTCTTGTTCATGACTTATGTAGTATGTTAACACTGGAAGTAAAAATAACTTGAACTCCAATTTTGAAAACAAAGCTTTCTTTTTCTTTTTCTTTTCTTTTTTTTATTTTATAAAGCTCTGACTTGTATTATGAGTCTGTGGTCTGGGAGAGAGTCCTGTAACTCTCTGTCTGCAAAATACAGCATATAATGACCAATGTTGGGCCATTAATTATATAGTTACTTCTTCAAAAAAGTAACAGAGTTTTGCAAACAAGTTTTTTTGCAGCTGTTGACCTAAAAATGCAGCCAAGGGTTTTTTTAAATAAACATTTTAAACTATTTACAGAACAATCAGCTGTTCTGCATCAAATTTGATGCCACACAAATTAATTCTGCCACTCCACAAAATAATGTCTGTCCACTATGAGATAAAGGAGAACAACAGCCTGATACCTGCAGGCCTGACAACAGGAGATGTATCACTCCTGTAACACCTGTAACATTCATTTTTGGTGTTGTTTTTGTTCACAGGCGTTGAGTGCTTTTGAGCGTTTTCCTCATAAAACGCAGTTTTTACCGTTTCTTCCCGCAGTAAATATAAACAATGATAATATTCAGGAAGAAATCCAAACATTGCATATAATTTTATCATAACTCTGGTTTTACGTGGCCTATCAACACAATTTAAAAACTAGTATAAAGTCCACACTTTTTCCGGCAGTTGTTCCATCTGTCCTACCCTTCATGACTTCATGACTAAAAACAGGAATGTTCTTATTGTCTTCTTCGCTATTAGCATCTATCTGGGAATTTTCCTCATGTTGTGACCTTGCAGGTTTCCAGTCTCATGGAAATGAGCAAAATACAAGGTACTGCCAGGGCTCATTTGACGACCGCCAGAATTAATCTCTCAGATTTTTTGCAGTATTGATTTTCCTTTTCGGTGACCTACGTGAATGTCTGCTGGCAGCAGCGGAATCTCACGTGTCGCGCTCTGAGGCTGTGTTTGTGATCTGCACGGCTCAGCTGCATTCACCGCTCTTTATCACCCTAATCCCTCATTTCAACAGCCATTTTGTGATGTATTCAGCAACTACAATGTCTGCAGATAACTGTATGAGATGAGTAAATGCTATCATCCCCCTCTCAGTTTACCATCAGTGATAATTGATTAAGCCCACCTCCTAAAATGGAAATGAGGCTGAGATACGGCTTTGAATTTTGAAGCCAAGTTCAGGTGAGTCATGAGCGAATAAAATGTATTTAGAAAAGATCTGGGGAATATAAATAAGGGAGTGCACTGGCGAGAGGACGGCGAAGAAAGCAAAGAAAGACTCTTTTTGCATGTTTAAGCAATAATATGTCCTTCCTGTCTGTGCAACGTGGTTTCCACACTAAATATACAGCATTGAACCAGAGACTGACAAAAGACACCCATCGATCATCTCGACTATGATCACAGGGTTCTCTTCCCAGGTGGCTCGCCTTACAAGATCTGATTTCTAAATGTCCTTTATTTATTTATTATTTATATTTTCAATTTAAGTTTTAAAAATGATTTTAAAGATGAAACACCCACAAAGCTGATAAATGTCTCTTACTTCTGTCTTATGACTGTCAACCTAACTGATGTGGGTGCTAATAATGACAACTCACGAGAATTTAAAGCGACTACAAAAGATCCTCTGTGACATTCTCCTCTAATTAAAGCTAATTCAGATAACACAGAAGAATACAGGTTCTCTTTTTTCTATTGTGTTTGAGATCCCAGCAGATCAGAAACCAAACATCTTTATTTTAGTTCCATACGAGGGAGCACAGGGCCTGTGCAAAGGAATACAGCCTTATGGACATTATTTAAACATGTAACTTTAAAGGCCAGTGTGCTGGGTTTCATCATTAGCCTCTAGGAAACGACCACAGGACCGGAGAAAGTGAACTGCTTGCACAAACTAATGCAATCCCTGGCTTTGACCTCATTTCCGTTGAATCCCGAAGCAGTGTTGGGACCACAAAACAGTCGGCTACCAGTTATACACAGCTTTATACATTGTTATCATAAATAAGCAAGGAGATAGCAGGTGTAAGATCCAGGCAACGATGTCTATTTGATTGACAGCTGTGGATTAAGCATCTATTTTTAAGTGTGAATCACCTTTGTGCACTTACAGAGGTTTTCCAGATTGTGCTGGATATTCAGTGCATGAATTTGCTCTTTTCATATCATCTCTGTTTGCTGAAGCTTTTTCACAAAACTTCATAGAAGGCAGAGTGGTGAGATGGCTTTATTAATCCCCCTCGTCCCGATATCCCCGTGCACTTGTGGCAAAGGTGGCCTTAGCCAATCTGCAAGTAGATAAAATATAGTAGTAGATAAATAGTAGATAAAATATACATATACCTCCAGTAATGTTGCACCTCAATTAGATGGTTTTGGTAACCATCAACAAGCTTCTGGCTCAATATTTCACCACTCTTCTTGTCACAATTGGTAGAGTTCATTTAAATAGCAATTTTTCAATAGGACTGGGGTTGTAACTTTGGGAAGGCCATCCCTGAAGCTTTATGTTAGCGTGCTTTAGCCATTCCAAAACCAGTTTTGATGTGTGTTTGGGATCATTGTCCTGCTGGACAGCCAAGTTTCTACCATCTAGCTGTTAATTTGAGGAGAAGTTGAAGAGCTTTGAGGTAGTTCTCCTTCTTCAATATTCCATCCACAAACAGTCCCAGAGCATGATGCTGCTACCACCATGTTTGAAACAACTGATGCGGTGTTTCAAACAAGCCTCTTGTTATTGTGATCAAATAGCGCCACCTTTGTTGCATCTGACCATAAAATCTTTCTCCAGAAGGCATTTGGCTTGTCCATGTTGGCAGTTGCAAATTTCAGTAGTATCTATTTTGGAGCTATTTTTAGTGCTTGCAGAGGCTGCTGAACTTCACCTGGTTGTTTTGCCTCCTGAAGTGAATACGGCTTCTCATGAAAACCCATGTTACAAGTTCCCAACATTCCTTAAAACAGGCTCACCTCCTCCACTGATTTACCTATTTCACCAAGGAGCTTGATGCCATCACCAGCCTTCATCACCTGCCTGCCCACTCTCTGCCACCATGTTGTTTTACAGGACTTCCACCCACAGACCAGAGACTCAGCTCGGCTCGAGCCCGGACCTCTCTAAATAAGGCATCTTCTTTCTTTCATTCTCTGACAATGTTCGCATTTTGACCTGGGCCTGAAATAACCTTGCTCCTCCTCTCTCACAGATACAGGCTTCATGCTGCCCACTGGTTCACCAAGTTAATTCACTCAATGTACAATAAACAGTTAAAAGAAATTATCAAAAGCCTGGAATTACTTTGATATTCATGCCTGCGAGTGGATGTAAACCTCTGACCACAACTGTATTTACACCACAGTGAAATTTTACTAATCGTGAACCACATCCAGGACCATATGCTGGACACCTCGGTGACACCTCCTGTTCTAACATTCAGAATCAGAATACTTTATTGATCCCTAGAGGAAATTATGTTGGTTACAGTGCTCCAGTACAAACAGTAACAAAAACAGACAATACAAGGAGTAAGAAATAGCACAATATATACAATACATACATATCACTTACTAATAAATATCTGAATAAGAAAGAAGAGCGTGTGCAAAAAGGGTGTAGCTATTGCAGTATACAGTGTGTTAGGTGGATGAGTTGTACAGGGAGATGGCCACAGGCAAGAATGATTTCCTGTGTCGTTCAGTGGTGCTTTTTGGTAATCTCAGTCTCTCACTGAACGTGCTCCTGTGGCCAGCCAGCACGTCACGGAGTGGGTGGGAGGAATTATCCAACATCGTCTTCATCTTGGACAACATTTGCCTCTCCATCACCACCCTAAGAGAAGCCAGCTCTATCCCCACAACATTGCTGGCCTTGTGGATCAGTTCATTGAGTCTGTTAGCATCAGCAACCCTCAACCTGCTGCCTCGGCTTGCCCATCACAGAAGGAAATGCATTTGGAAGTAACTTCTTGGTGAGTATTGCATCAATGATGTGTCCTAGATTCAAGTCTTAAGGGATGGTGATCATGGAGCTTTCAAACCTGAACAGAGGAGAGTCGGAGCAGATTTAAGGATCTAAAAGGGTATGTGAGTGTTTTGGACTGTGCAAGAGCACTCCAGGAAGAAAAATTCAACCTGACACACACACACACACACACACACACACACACACACACACACACACACACACACACACACACACGCAACTCAAGTCCTGACTTAATATAACAGATGCATGCACCCTCCCAGCCAGTCACCCTCCTCTCTGATGAAAATGAGAAAGTTAAGAGAGCTGTTCTACTTCCTTGATGTGATTTCATCACTGCAGCTTGCTGTGTGAGAGATGTTGGCTAACATTTATTTTTTAACCATTTTTTGAAAAAATCATGTTTCTATTAAATAATATAACGGGGGTGGATCCCTCAACCCAAGCATCAGACCACCTTTACACTGAAGACCGCAAGTATTACTACTCCTCTGCTTACCTGCTGGAATATATAATCAATAACAACCAGGTAGATGTGTAAGTGTACAGTTATAAGAACTGGGCTAAAAAAATGGTCTTCCTTCCTTGTAGGTCCTCTGTTTCTGTGAAAGACGACAATGGGAGCTTCATCGGCAGCCGCAGCATGTCCTTGTGCCGGGTGCCAACCTACACCTCTCACACACTATACTGTTCTACCTGAGATAAACTGTAACTTTGGGAGATTAATGGCTTGCAGCAGTTCTTTTAATCTTCTCTTCCTTTTCGAGGGTATAAATTACACCACGCCACTTGTCATACCACCTCTGGGCATGGAACTAAAAACAATTGTGCACGTGCAGGTGGCTGCATCCACCATGACATTGCTGTAAGAACCTTAGAGCAACTCTGCAGCCTCTCTTTGTCTGATTTAGACCTGTGTTTATAAAACCTAGAAGTTAATTTACTGAAGTACTGCACTTCAGCACAGCTGTGAAATGCTTTACTTAAGTTATTCAGTTTTATTCTACTTTATACAACTTCTACATTTCACAGGGGAACACTGCATTGTTTACTCTCGCCATTGCACTTAGCTAACTTTTGTATTTTCAGAGTAATATTTTACTACTAGGGCAGCTGTAATTCAATATAAAGTGCATAGAATAAAGCCCAGTATGAATGTGTGCATGAATATGGCTTGTGAGCGAAGAAAAGCTTTGAGTGGTAATAAGACCATAAAAGCATAACATTATTATTACACTATTATTATGTTAGACTGAAGTGGATGGTGCGATTCCTTATAAAAGCCATTGTGTGGCTGTAGGAGCCCATTATAAGTGAAACGTTTTCTCTCTAAGCTGCTTCACTTGGATTCATTTAAGTAACCGTTTGAGGGCCAGACATATTTTAGAGGTAAAATAAGAAGAATAAGAGGTAAAACAAATATATGCAGTGACCCGTTGGCGGGAGAGTACCCCTCATGATGGTAGCAAATAGTCAAAACTACTAAATTGTGCAAATTTCATTTTGATAGATCAATAAATGTACTGAAATTGTCAGTGCTGGGGTTGCCACTCAAAAAAAGGAAGAAAAAAAAAGCATTTTATATTACTCGTTACTTTTTTCAAAGTTTATGCTGTACATTAATTACATACCTTAGAAAGTAAATTATTACTCTAACTGTTACATTACTCTTACAGTACTGTGTTGGGGTCACCATTCACTCAGCTTGAACATCATTCAGGGTTCTTGGCTAGCTTTTTGTTAGCATGCTGTCTGTGGAGATGCTCAGTGAGAGCTGAAGGTGTGTTAGCCATGTTATGCAGTTGCGTCTGTGTGTTGCCATTGCACTTTTATCCTTTCGTGCAGTAAAAATAAAACTAATATCCACATCTCCACTCCTCAAAAGCTGGAGATCACTCAACATTTTCCTCCATTAACGAAACAAAGTGAAATCAGTTGATTGTGGCAGAAGCACAGAGAAAGGAAATATATTTGTTTGATTTTTTCTCTTTCTGTTTTCTCTGCACCTTTAGTGGGATTTGGAATGCCAACATTTTTGTTACTTTGTCGGTAATAGAGTGTTTTTACATTTTTTGCATTTTATGCGTCTTAATACTTTATTCAGCTCCGGAGTTAAAATGTTGCTGCCAAGATTTCATAACTAAAGTAAACTAATAATAACTAATAATGAACAACAGCTCACAAGGGATCGCAAAATTACAATTAGCGGAAATGATTCATGCCTTAAATGAAAAAAAAAAGACTAAGTTTACATGACTTGAGAGGTACTTTCAGCTGCTCCCTTATTTCCCAGAGGTTCACTACTGCAGATGGATCCACATATTTGACTTGGCACACATTTTATACCGGATGCCCTTCCCGATACAAGCATCCCATTTATCTGGGCTGGGAACAAGCACTGGGAGTACACTATCTTCTAAGGATAGAAGGCTTGTGTTTCCTTCCAGTCTTAAACTGGGGATCCTTCATGTATAATAATAATAATAATGGATTGCATTTATATTTCGTTTTTCGGGGCCCTCAAAGTGCTTTAGAGTTCCACTATTCATTCACTCTCACATTCACACACTGGTGAAGCTACAGTTGTAGCCACAGCTGCCCTGGGATAGACTGACAGAAGCAAGGCTGCCATATCGCACCATCGGCCCCGCTGGCCATCACCAGTAGGCGGCAGGTGAAGTGGCTTGCCCATGGACACAAGTAACGACCAAGACTGTCCGAGCCGGGGCTCGAACCGGCAACCTTCCGGTTACAAGCCGAACTGCCAACTCTTTGAGCCACGATCGCCCTGCTGTGGTTGTGTTGTGTTGCTCACTACACTCAAAACGTACTCTACTTATTATTCTCTTCAAGCAAACACATCAAGAGACCTGATTATAAATATGTCTTTGACAATAAACATGCAGAAAAATATATTAGCTATAATGGCAACAGGGCAAAATACAGCAGTAATTTGAATACAACTGCAAAACATCATTATTCTGAGTGGTTCAAATCCAGTTACGTGCTAGGATTGCCCAATGCAAGTTAGCCAATCATTTTTTCAGTTTTCATTTTAATGTATGTTAATTCACTCAAAACATACCTCAGCAGGAACCTCTGCTTCTATCCTGCAGCCATTCAGGATTTACTAAGACTTTAACTTAATCTCTTTTAATTGTGCAGTTATCTTTAAGCCTTATTTAGCTGTTTTTTTTTCAAGCAGAAGCAAAAGGCAAGACTGAAGGATTATTTATATCTTTCATTTACAGTAAGCGTTCAATTTCAGTTTTAGTATAGCCTGTATATAAAACAGGGACGTAGCCACTGTGGAACTCATTGGTGTGTGAAACTGAGTGGATAATTTTTTGCCATCTTGGTGTTTTGATAGTGGACAAGAAATCATTGTTTGGTATGGACTTGTCAATCTGTCATGTAACCAGCGTGAGGCAGGCAGAGAGTGGACAGAATGTAAAACTAAAAACCGGCTTTAAAAAAAATACAACAAAAGGCAAAATATAAAACCTAAGCGGGACAGGAACGGACAGACAGACTGCACCATGAGAGAGAACAGAGGGGGACGCAGACAATATTTACACAGGGGGGCGATTAAGGGAAGAGGAGACACATGGGAACACAGCTGAACTGAATCATAACTAACGAGACAGGGGAAGCAAAAATAAAACAGGAAATAACACACACACACACACACACTGAGACTCATACATGTGAACCTGACACTGGGACTGGGGATAAAAAGACATGGAGACACGAGAGACTTTCCTGGAATTCAGTCATGGCTCTAACATAAGAAAATATGCATAAAAATGCTTTTTTATTCCCCATACTATCATGGTTAGTAATTGTCAGCAAGATCAGACATGAGAGTAACAGCTTCTGTTTCAGTAACAGCCGCTAACAGCAACAAAAACAGCATCGCTAACCAGCCGCTCAGGAATCAAAAGCTCAGTATATCACCTCAGTATCACTGTCACTAGACAGAAATGAGCTTTGTCGACTCATCAACCTCACACTGGACTCCTTTGACAAAGTTTTGCAGCTTTCCCAATAGTAAATTTACTCTGCTCAGGGAAGCAGTGAGCTAACAGCCTACTACAGATAACTGTGAAGTGTTTGAGTTTTTTTCAAGTGTTGACATTATTCAGACACTTTAACATATAATGAGTAAAAATAATGTATACTTTACAGTCAGTTTTGGCAGTGGCATAAAGTTTGTTTTACATGCACTTTTGATTCTTCAGTTTTTATTTGTTGTTTTTGCACATTTTTACGACGCGGTGAATAATAATCATGAGGGTTTCATAGGTTTTGACCTCTTTTATTGGCAAATTTAAAAAACAAACAAACTTTGTTTCAGCCGTGGTGCCATTCCCAAAACTTTTAGCCACACTATAGAAGAAACTTGCTGGCTGTCCACGACCATTATATGGTGGCCCTGAAAGGTTAAACGCACTTCAACACCAGCAAATACAAAAATGCACAAACAAACACCAGAAAAACTCATAAAACGACTCACAAAACACAAATGAAGAGAGAAAAGCTGCAGAGGTGGCAAGATAACAGTTAATGGCTAATAGCAATCTGCTTCTTAAAGGTGTGTCAGTCCTTTGCGTGTTTTTGTTTTGTTGTGTTTTTTGTGTTTTTGTAGCATTTTCCTCTTTGCTGGTGTTTTCTTGGTGCTGGTGCATTTGACCTCTCAGGGCCACCGTACCATCATGGGCTACAAAGGGTTATGGCTTAGCCTACAAGGGGTCTTCATTCCTTCTGTTGCCTCTAACACTAACTATAATTTATTTATTTTATAGAATAAGGCCTGAAACTACAGATTGAGACCGTGAACTCTTTAGCGGAGTCTTTATGAGTCTTGAAGTGAGTGTTTTTCTACACAGTCGCCTTATTTTTGCATCCAGAGGAGTCTCCCCCTGCTGGTTAGCAGATTTATTGGCCTCACTTGTTAGACTCAGAATATACATTTACATTTTTAATGCAATCTGTGGATGTTGGCAATGCATTCTGAAGAAGGTGAATAGGTTGTCTGAAAAAGAAAAGAGTCTCCAATCATTAGACTGTCTGAGGATCTCACCTGTAACCTGGAATCTCTGACCCAATTCTTTCTCTACAGGTATCTTTTTCTTCTTGTTTGGTACAACGCCTCCATCTCCATCCTGTGGAACTGGCTCCCTTTTCGTAACTTGAATTTCTTTCATTCCTCTAAGATTTGATAATGAGCTGTGTTTCTGAGTCCAGCAGCTACTTAAAAATTTACACATGCCTTCAGGTTTTTTCTTCCTTCTGTGTAATAAGCAAAGCACAGCTACCTAAATCCTAAGGGAGCTGTAGTCTTAATTTTATCTCCCTCCCATTCATTAATACAGTGCCTGTAGCTACCTGTGTTAGGTGTAATTGGGACACTTGCAAGCTTCACCTTTTATTGAAAGGTGCTCCATTGATGAGCTGACTACCACGCTGGAGAATGAAGATAGCCAGAAGGCTCGCTTCTGCTTCCCAGTGTTCCACTTCATTGAGCAACAGAATGAGACCATCTCCACCTGCTATCTGCACTGCATCACCCGACTCTGCGAGTGCACTTCCTGCAGCACCTTCAAGGTGGGAGGGTAGCGTATGAATTTCAAGCAGAAATCTCCAATTCAGGCCAGATCCCCAGCTCATATCTCCACATATGGCCTGATCCACAGCAATGCCAGAGGAAGAGGCGGAGCATGAGGAGCACAGGGAGCACAGTGGTCCAGGAGGGCATCGCCGAGCTGTCTGTGCTCACAGTGGCTATAAGAACCGTATGTTTGTCTTTCTTTTTCTGCAGATTTCAGACGGTGCATCTAAAAGCGATCCTCAAATACGCCACAGAGACATGAATAACATTCGGGTGGTAGAGCTCTGTATCATTAAAGGCTCAGTTTGACGTTTTGAGAAATGCTGTTCACCTCCTTGCTCAAAGTTTAATGAGAAGACATACTACGCTCACCCATTTTTTTATGTTGAACTGAGCTAACGATCTGCACATACACTGTGACTGTACAAGTTTAACACTGGTATCGATACTCTGATCCGCCTCCAGCACTGAGCTGGATGCCTGTTGAGGGGCCTAAATGGAGAAAAAATAACAATGACTGATAAAACAAAACACAGAAAATCATTCACAGAATTCATTATGAGCAAAGGAGAACAGATAAAAGGTTATAAAACCTATGATAAGGACGAATAGTCTGACTACCTTCAATCAGTGTCTCGCTTTTGGCAAATGTGTAGTTTGAAACATGGCAAAAAAAGAATAGAAGCTCATTACACCTTTATGATATTTCTTCTGGTTTCCCTTTTCTCCTGTAATTTAATTTTTCTCTCCAATATTTTGATAATTATAATATTGTGTCTCTCATAATGAAATATTGATGTTTCCCATCTTTCTTGCAGCCATTCTCTCCAAAGAAGAGGCTAAGTGTGTTATGTATTAACTCGACACCAATGAGAGCAGCTATTCACAAAGTTTTTTACTAATTAGATTCCTCCAGAAATGAAAGGACTCTTATCTGCAGCGAGTCATGTCATCGTCTCTTGTCTGCTGAAATAAAAGCACCCCACAATGGCGTCCCTCTCATTTGTGCACAGCGCTGTCTGGTGGACGGTCTGATGGAAAGGGCGCATCTTTGGAATGGTCGCTGCTCTACTCACTGTGGCACGGCTGGTAGCCATTTTGATGGTGGCATCTTTTTTTTTATTGAAAATTGAAGCGGCTGAGCTAGCAGCAGCACATAATATTGATGAACAGAGGTCAGTGCAGGGTAAACGACATGATGAGTTTGACAGGGTGACATTCACATACGAGTGGAGGTGTGTAATGTATATATGTAAGACTTAATCAAAGTGATTGATTGGAGCACTCGCTCAATCCTTCAGAGTATTTCGAGCTATGAAAGGTGAAGTCTGAGTAATTGTCAAAAGACAGAAAGAAGCTCAGCTGTCATCATTTTTGTGAAACATACTTGTTTGAGGAAGAGGGTGGAGTAATGAATTTAATATCTTTTGGTTCATCACTGAGTTTTAGCAGCATTGTTATCTGAATTCAACAAACCCTTCTTTTTTCCAGAGGCTTTAAGTTAAACTACTCAACTGGTCATTAACACAAATGTCGAATCAGCCAATCACATGGCAGCAACTTATGTAGACATCATCAAGATGACCTGCTGAAGTTCAAGGCTAGCAACAGAAGGAGGAAGAAAGGTGAGCGATTTTGAATGTGGCATGGTTGTTGGCACCAGATGGGTTGATCCAATATTTGAGGAGAATGACCCGACTGCTTCAAACTGATAGGAAGGTACAGTAACTCAAACAGCTCATTATAACCAGGATGTGCAAAAGAGCATCTCTGAATGTAGAAAAAATGGACTGCAGCAGCAGAAGACCACACCTCGTGGCACTCCTCTCAGCTGAGAACAGGAACCTGAGGCTACAATTCACATGGGGACAGAAGACTGAAAACATGTTTCCAAGTCTAATTAGTTTTATTTCTGCTGTGACATTCAGATGGCAGGATCAGAATTTGGCCTAAAGATCAAAAAAACTTGGATTCGTCCTGCCTTGCTTCAACGCCTGTGGCTGGTGGTGGTGTAATGATGTGGGGGATATTTTCTTGACACACTCTGGAATTCTTAGTACCAACTCAGCATCGTTTAAACGCCATCCCTTCATGACCGCAGTGTGTGCATCTTCTGCTGGCTGCTTTCTGCTCCCTGCACGATAATGTGTCATCTCACAGAGCTCAAATCATGTCAAACTGGTTTCTTGAACATGACACTGAGTTCACTGTACTCGAATGGCTAGTCCCAATCCGGTAGAGCAACTTTGGGACATGGTGAAACTGGAGATTTGCATCATGAATATGTTGCTGACACATCTGCATCAACTGTGTGATGCTATCATGTTAATATGGACCAAAATATCTGAGGAATGTTTCCAGTACTTCATTGAATCTATGAGATAAGGAATTAAGAAAAGCAAAAGTGGGTCCAACCCAGTACTAGCAAGGTATACAGCGAGTATATCTTCAGCATACAGACATTTCCTGGCAACAAAGTGAATAAACATATTTTTCCATAATGTGAGGGGGTCCCTCTACTATTTATCTGGCATTGCAAAAAAACAGAAAAGGCGGCTATAAGTTAGCATTGCTACATTCCTGTCTCGCATTTAATTTGCCTTACTGTCAACATGCAAATAATCTTTGATTTAAACACTCGGCTTCTTGTTTATTTGGCGAGCAGTTCATAGATAAAAGTCTACACAACTGGAACACGGACGACACGCAGTGAACTGCACATGATGTATTTCTAATAATCTTCTAATTCCAAACCTGCGTGTGATGGTTTTACACCCAGCATAGATTCGCTCACGCAAGCCAGCTCTGATGCACTGCTAAATAAGTACAACGTTACATTCCAGACTACAAGGGATAATTAAATGATAAAAGTATCGCACAAAAGAGAAGAAGTGGGCATATATGGTTATTTATCAGCTGTTTCTATGGTGTATTCCTGAAAAAAATTAATTTAGTTATACTTGCAATACAGTATCTTCAGAAGGTGATTTGTTACTGATGTGTATATTTGAGTCAATTTTCCATGCATGGATTATTACTATTAAAGCTCACAGTGTTATCGGAGGCATACGATAGAAGTGCTGTGTCAGACTGCATCTTACGGTCTGCATGAAACTATTCCTGACATACAAGAAGGCTTTGGATGTCTTGAGTTCAAGGAAATGAAAAGGATTAATGCATTAAACTGAGTAAAACTGGCACACATACTTTTTGCTGTTTTATAACTGGAGGCATGTGGATCGTACACAAGAAATGAATCCCAGTATTTGAAATTTATGCTTTCAGGAATTTCCTTCAGTCTAACGTTTGATGTGCACAGAAGATAAAAGAAAGTTTGTTTTGAGGTTTGCAGGGTGATGCTTTTGTAATGGTCCACCACTAGAGGGTGTCTAATCACCATTTTTTTTCCTAATCTCTTTTTTTAAGGCTCTACTGTTTACTTGTCAACAGTGCCTTTAATTAATACATTTTGAGCACAGGAATATCCAGGATAGAGGATTTAGATCAGATTAGCCTTCTTAGATCCCCACAATCTTAACTTTTCGCCACATCTTTTAAAAATAAATTATTTTGGCTTTCAGAAAACCAGAGAAATCTACAGGCTCTCTGTTTTTCTGGCCATGATCGGCGAGAGATCGATTTCTGAAAAGTGAAACGTCTTCCCATGTACACCATAAAAAGAACAAGCAAAGCAATCAGCTGACTTGACAAACGATCTAATTAGGAGTTGCAGTATTGTTAAGTAGGCCATGACAAACCTCACGACAAGACGACCCACTTTGAAGCATGAGGGGGATAAATCAGCTGAGCTGGAAGGCAGTGCTCCATTACCACTGCAGTAACTGTATGTTCAGGATAAATCTCCCATTTATGAGTTCCCTGTAATTTAATTAAACCAACAGGGATAAACGTGTGCTCTGTTGCTCTCTAATGGTGTGGACATTAACCTTTGAATCCAGCTGCTTTGCCCTCTAAAATGTTAATAGCCGCGGGGGATGAGCTGCAGCTAGAAATCTGTATTGCACTTCCATATGTTGCTCATGACAATGCACATTTTAATCACCTTTTCTTTAAAGTCATGTTGCAGTGCATCTCTAAAGGGAGTGTTTTTTTGTTGTCTCTCATTCTTTTTGCTAGTTTTTTTTTTTTTTTTAAATCTGTCTGCTGTGTCTGAGGATTTGGGCTCTTTATTATAGACCTTTGCGTTTTGGCCAGTCTTGTCCTCAGCTGAAAGAATAATTGTCCTGTCATTTCCATTCTAATTAATATGCATATGAGTCTGTCTGTAGGCTATACATTAGGCTTAGCAGACAGCGCAATCATAAAAAATTGATGGACCAGCTGCAATTTAGGACGAGAAGACTCGTGCAACATGAAGACTGCTGGAATATGATGACTTTGAATAAACAGTGTCAGAGTCTTGCTAATAGGATGACGTGATGCGTTAATGTGCTAACAGAAAATAAAACTGGATTTCTTTTCTTTTCAAGGCAGAAGAAATATAAAATACTTCAGCAAGATAACACCAGACTGCTGAGGAGGCGAAATCAAACTGGAAGGTCCAGCTGTTCCATTAACCTTTTGTAATGAAGCAGAAGAGATGTGAAACTTGGTGAAATGTAATGTCGAACGTTGAGAGGAAGAAGAACCGTGAGCGAACAGGACAGCAATCCTTTAGCAGTAAATCCTCTGTGTCTTTATATGAATTTTTCAACATCTGAAGAAATACAGTAATTGGGTTTCTTGCTGAGAACTTGATGAACTATTACTCGCATACCTGAACTAACAGCCGTGCTGGGGTTCCTCAGCGTAACAAAATCCACCTATCAGCTTCTCTAATTATACCTTTATGTCTTAATTTGGTTGTGTCATTAAAAATAGTCTTGCACACAATCTCTTGTAAAAACCTAATGGATTTTGTTACCTTTTGTTATCTTTGGAGCCATGCTAATCCCCATTTTCACCAGTCTTTGTGCTCGGCTTAAAGCTAAGCTAACTCTCTGGGCTTCAGCTTAGCAGTAGCTAACAGACAAATGTAACAGTGGTGTCAGTTTAACTGTTTGCACATTTTAGTGGGGTGGTCAACTGGCCTTAACGGAAGACTTTTTATGCAATCCCATTTTCCAAGATCCCACTGATAATTTGAAAACGGCACTAATATGAAGGTAGCATGGTAACAGCCATAGATGGAGGAAGGTGTTTCAGGTAGATGGTGCTATGGGGATGACACTATGTGTTATGGTGCAGGCAGGGTTGGGGTGG